GCATTTTGTACAGCTCCTCAGAGTTCCCTTCTACCTGCTAGATGCGATGTTGCCCTATTCAAATCAATCTTTACTCAAATCCCTAAACATTTTAATATGCATCAGTTTCTCTTTTGACACAATTAGAACATGTGGAGGTTGGTCCAGTGCTAGTGCTGGTGTTGACCTTTGCCAACCACATGACCTTGTGTGACCTATGTAAACCACATGAAATCTGGACCTCAGTTTCCTAATGTGTAATATGATGGGGCTTGCCTGGACGGTCCTCAAAGTTCCTCTATGTTGACACTTCATGAGGGTGATATCATTCACCTCAGAGGTAGTACCAGTTCTCAAACTGTTTGTTCTTGGGACCCCATCGCAGCTCTCAAAAATATGGAGAACTCCAAGGAACTTTTGTTTATATGGGTTAGTATCTTTCAATATTTATCATTGTAAGTTAAAACTGAGAATGTTTTAAAATACAAGAATACACAAGTTCTCATACAGAGAATTGACCTCATCATCCATCATATAATCTCTGGAAAATCCCCTCATGAGAATCAGAGTGAAATGCAGTAACATCTCAGTCTTATTATGAAATAATTTTGATCTTGTAGAACCCCTCCTAAGGGTCTCTAAGACCCCAGGGGTCCCAGGACCGCACCACTGTGAACACCATTGGTGCAGTGAAAGCCCCCAAAGCCAGTACCTGCACTTGAATTTTGGTTTTGTTATTTGCTGAATACATGACCTTGGGCATGTTACTTACGCACTCTGTGCTTCCACTTCCTGTGAAACTGCGATAACGAGAGTGCCTAATTCGCAGGCTTGTAGAAGGCTTAAGAAAAATAATGCATAGAAAGTACCTCAACAAATATAAGGGCTCCGTAAACGGAGGCATTATTAGTCAACTACAGATAAAATTTCATTGAAAAGTACCTTCAGAAACTTAAGAACAGAGAAAGAAAAAAAAAAAAAAACCACTTACCAAGCAACCAGACTGCTACGTTTGCAGACGGCACCTAGAAAACCAGCCTTGGGCAGAGAATTTCACAGGTCTTTAGGCCAGATTTCTCTGTCTCTGTGCTCGAGCCAACCCTGCTTCTGCAGAGTCCAGAGTGAGCACACTGGGCTTGGCCAGAGCTCGGTCCTCACTACGGGCAACCCAGAAGCTTCCCAGTTGTGCTGAAGCTTCCTCCACGGCTGCATGTGTCCAGCATGCACGTAATGAACAATTTCCTTGCGTTCATCACCTGAGTGCATTCCCAGAAATATGTGGGATTTCTTTTACTATTTGGCCGTCAGTACTGGTCACAATGGACTGACATATAGAAATTTTGGGTCATGCTCCACAGGTATAAGGCTCCCTCCAAACCCCTCATCCTTGCCCCTCAAGTTTTCCATATGTCTTGGTTGATGTAATGCGGGGTTATGAGCTCTGGATGCACATTGCATTTGTGTTGCCACCCTTCAAGGCCAGGCAGGTTCATGGAATCTGTGCAGACAGAAAAATATTCATGAAGCTGTTGGTATGTCTGGCATGCCTTATTCATGGGTGGGCGAGTTATGCACACTGCAACCTGAGTGTCTATCTGCATGTCTTGTGTCGTGGCCCCTGCTCCCCAGCGTGGCACCCATCATGGCACCTGTCCCCTTGCATGTCTCTCATCATCATCATCGCCCCAGCAGGGAGTCCCTACCTGTTTAAATACCAGAGGGGAACAAAGCTGGAAAACTGCCAGAACATTACATGGCACAACCTAATTCTGCGTATGCGAGCTCACTTCATATTGTGGGAACAGTTTATCAGGCCCAGTCTCAAGGCTATGAGAACACTAGTTATCAGGCCCCTCCAAGATTATGGGAACACTGCTCCCCTTAGCTACCCAGACACCTGGGTGAGGAAGCCAGACTGCCTCCATTTACCCTGCTGCATTCATCTGGAAAGCCGAAATACAACTGACCCTTAAACAACACAGTTTGATGTGTGGGTTCATTTAAAGGCAGATTTTTCAAAAACCCACATATAAATGGACTCCTGCAGTTCAATCCCAAGTTATTTCAGGGTCAACTCCACAGCCTGGGGCCTAGTCCCCCAATGATTCTGATTTGATTACCTCTCAGGGGTTACCTGCTCATTCTGAAGTGGGGCCAGCGTGAGCCGGCACTGCTCTAACTGCCCTGTGGTTCTCTAAGGATGTTCTCCAGCCAGGAACATCAGTATCACCTGCAAGCTTGTTAGAAATGCATGTTCTCAGGCCCGCCCCTATCTGTTGAGGGGGGGCCCAGGAATCTGTGTTTACCAAGCCTCCTAGGTGATTCTCACACAAGATCAAGTGTGAGGCCCGTGCTCTTGATTGCCAAACCTCCACGCTGGTGGAGGTTATACTTCCAACCTCCACCATTTCCTCCCTCGACTAGGTAAGCCTGTAAAAAGAAAGTGTCAGGTTCCTTCTTCCCAGTGCAAATACCTGTGTGGCCTGAGGTGGAACATTTGAGTGAGTCTGACATCATTTGCATGCGAAGTCCCTCTGCAGAGGTGCCGGGTTTTCAAGAGAGTGAATAAACCAAAGGTCACTGCATGTCACACATGAGCACAAACCTGCATTCAACTCAGTAAACGTTAGTTGCTCACACTTTTATTCAGGCATCAGGCTACTGCTGAGGGCACTAGAAAGACAGGCACAGCTCAGCTCTGCCCTGAGGACCACCTAGCCTAACAGGCACAGGGCACAGACACAAACAGGAAGCCGGGATGCTGGGGTCATCAGAGAGACTGAATTCATAGCAACGCTGAGGTCATATGGCAGCTAATATGATGGCAACGTCTCCGTGCGGCTGAGGGCAACAACCTATAGCGCAAGTCCTCACAACCTCACCCACTCCTCACACTCAATCCCCACCACAGCCTGTGATGTAGATTCTCGAATGTGCCCCGTTTTACAGATGGGGAAACAGGTTTACAAAGAGCGAGTACATTGCGAGGTGACACAGTTACCAAGTGGGGGCCCAGATTTAAAGCCACGTCTGTCTGACACCCAGCGATTATTCTTACATGTGCTACTTTTAACATGCAAAGACTGTGGCAGAGACTTTGGGAACATTTCCTAGCTAATTCTGAGACAAGAAACTGTGCTTAAAAGTTAGGGTTTGTGTGAATGGGTTGAGATGATGGCAGAATTCAAACTTCTGGTTAGACTGAGAGAACCGGAGGGAGAAACTGGGTCTTCTTGTTCCCACCCTTGTCGCCTGCAGAGCACTTGGGGCTTAGAGGACACCTCAGAAATGCTGGCTGAGCGAATCTGCAGGGCACCGGTTGCTGCCATGCCTCAGGGTGTGCAGGAATCGGGCACTGTGCCTGCTCTGTCCCCACCTGTGACTTGTTGGAGAGGCTCCGACTCTTAGCGAGGCTACAGAATGAGTGTCCCTCCAGCACAAACACCAAACAGACAATCACAAACCTCAGTTAGCCAGTGCTAGCCTCCCGGCCAAAACTGCTGAAAAGAAAGGGAAGTATTTGCAAATACGTAACATTATCTGAGTGACACTTAGATTGGGTATGCCTAATTTTACATTCTTAGTTTTCTTTACAAAAAGTCCATTTTACTTTGGAAACAGTAGGCTAACTGTATATGTATGTATATGTATATATATGAGAGGGTATACATATATATGAGTGTGTATATCTGTGTGAGTGTATATATACACATGTACAAATACATGTACGTATATATTCCAACATAAATAACATGACGTTGTATCACAAAATATTTTATTACAAAATCATAAGCATGTAATTCTATAACATAACACTATCACACTCAAGCACACCATATGACATTTTTGGTGAAACGTTCAAATTAAAACTATAAATTGTGACACCCATGTTATTGCCCTACAACCACACTCAAGCAGGCGTTACCTCTGCCGGACTCTGTGTGTGTGTGTGTGTGTGTGTGTGTGTGTGTGTGTGTGTGTTTTCCATGACCTTGGACATTCCATGTCCAAGAGTTGACATCCAATCCAAAGTGGGCTATTGACCTCTTTTTTTGGGGGGGAGGGGTGGACTTGAGGGGAAACTGAGTCTCCCTGTGGTGACTGGAGCTGGAAGGTACACAGCACAAACTTGGGTGCACATGTCGCTGGCCATGTGAGGGATCGAGTCCACGGAAAGAGGAGGTAGCGGACCGCCCACAGACAGAGCAGCAAGACGAGGGAGGGGCCCTGGAGGGGCCCTCCCGGCTCTGTGAGAACCTGGCTTCAGTTCTTCCCGAGGTGGCTCCGCCTCCCTGCTCTTTCCCAGGCTCGGTTTTTCACCATCCCCTTAGACTTTGTGACTCAACCCATTCCCCTTGGAGACGAAGCTCATTGGAATTCTGGTTCTGTCCCTTGTAACCACAGCCCTGACCAAAACAGGTGTTGAACAGCTTCAGGGTGATTAAAATGAAAACAAAAGAGAAAACAAGCAATAATTCTAACTTCTCATTTTTTGGCTGCCGCATGTCTTTCTTAAACATATGAATTTTAGGGTTAGTTATGTCACATTTAAACCTTATTTTTCTTTTCCTCACCTGAGGACACTTTTTCATTGCTTTTGGAGAGAGGGAAAGGGAGGAAGGGAAGCAGGGAGGGAAGGGGGGAGAGAGGGAGAGAGAAACAGTGATATGAGAGAGAAACACTGATTGACTGCCTTCTTGAACTTGCCCTGACCAAGGATCAAGCCCGCAACCTTTTGCTGTGTGGGACGATGCTCCAACGACTGAGTCATGCCAGCCAGGGCCAGTTATGTAACTTTCCAGCAAACTTTCTACTGAATTATAACACACAAAAAAAGCGCTGAGCAATCATGACTGTTGACAAAATACGCCTCTGTGTCGCCAACACCCAGATCAAGAATCAGAGCATTTCTAGCAACTCAGAAGCCCCTTTCCTGCTCCTCTGCCCGCAGGAAGTCCCCACCTCAAGGCAGCCACTGTCCTGTCTTCTGATGTAGAGATTAGTTCTGCCTGTTTCTGTACTTTAAGAAGCACGTTCTGTTCCACGTCTGGCTTGCTTTCGCATTTGTGAGATGCAGCCATGTTGCATGTGGTTGTAGTTCTCATTGCTGAGTCACATCCCCAGTAAAAATTTTAACTTTATTTTCACTTGTGGACAGTAGCCTGGAAGTCGGTACTGGGGACTTAGTAGAAAGAGCTGTTTGTTCTCTTGGTGATGCATGGATCATGACGAGGAAAGATCTAATTCAGCAAACTGTCTGGAACTTTTCAGCAGAGAGAACTTACTTTTATGAAGTTGGAGGTTTTATTGAGATTATTACCTTACTCAGCTCAAGTGAGGACACAGGCTGCTTCCTTCTCACGAAGGAGGAAAAACAACGAATGAGCTGTCCCCATCCTTGTTCAAAATACAGCTTCTGATAGAAAAGCCTACCACAGTTCTCCTCAAAGCTGACCCTTCCAAAAACCTGGTCAGACTGCACATTGTTCGTGTCAGCGTAACAGCATTCCGTGACTGTACAGGTCAATAACTCTCAAGTGCAATTAATATCGTGATTCCTGGAAGGCAACACCATCTTCCTAGTGTTTTACCAAGCAAGCAAATGGCAATTTATCCACAGGGCTCTTCTCTCGAGCCTTTCCCCACCAGCCTTGAGATTCAAATTCCGAATATAATTTTCATCAATACCTGTAGTTTTCCTTCTTTATGCTCCATGGGAATTAGAATGTAAATAATTACTAGCCCCCATTGAGGTGGCTTAAACAATAAGGAAATTTTATTCTTTCTCATCACAGGAAGTGTGGAGATGGGTTAACTTGGTTCAGTGACATCAACAAGGATCCGCTGGGTTCTTTCCGTATGGGACTGTCTGCCCCATGGATCCGAGCAGTGCGAGGCCATTCCAGGAGCCATATCCAGAAACAGGAACTTCCTGCAGCCCTGCCACAAAAGAAGATGCGTTTTTCTCTCTCTCCCTAGAAACCTTCCTCAGAGACCCAACATGACTCATTAGGCAGAATTACATTCAAGCCCATTGATGAAACCAACCAATGGCAGAGGAAATGGGGTTACCATACTTAGCGCAAAACAACAGTGTTTATCCCTATAATTAGGAATACAGTCCCCTTGCCTGAGTCACTTTCAGATACAACAGTGGCTGTGCTGGGAAGGAAAAAGGGGGGAAAGTAGCTGAAAACTACCCAACCACAGTGTTCCACAGTCCACTCCTTTGGCTTTCCAACATCTGGACACACCCATGCAACCCGTGTTCAAACCGTGTTCATACTCCCGCACAATTTATGTAGTCCATACATAAGCGGGAATAAACTGAAGTCTCACCAAAAGGATATATCTAATAAACACTCCCATTTAAGAAAGTGGCTGTTGTTGCTGGTCCACAGCACCTAGTATTTGCTGCAGAACAGGAACAGCAAGTACTGCTCCCCTGACCCAGCCAGCTGGGCCGTCTGGGATCTGCTGGAGAATCCCCCTTGTCTCCTGGCCTCCTAGCCTCCTTGGCCACCTCTCAGGTGAGCACTGGAGAAGATGGTCCCCTAGAGACTGCTGGATTTGGCAGCCCACTTCCTACAGATACAAATTCTATGGCCTCCAAACCACCTTAGGGCTTGAATGGTCCCAGCCTTTTGCCAGTTAGGTTTGGAATTTACCCATAATGGCCGACAATCTTGTCTGAATGAGGTCCGAGGGTCCCACTGTTCCTATTTCCTCACCATGCTTCTCTACGTTCTGTCGGCCCACAAGACCAAAGTTTAACGGCCTCCACCTTGACACAAGTGACACAATAGCCCCCCTTGACGCAAGTGACACAATAGCCCCGTGGTGGGAGAGGGAGCACATCAGAGGAGGGGAACCCAGCCTTCCCAGGGTGTCTAAGCTGGATGGTGCCTCCTGTCTTGTGAAGAATGTTTGATGAGAGACCTTATGGGGATGTAGGTGGGGATTCAGATTTGCTTTTATCCTAATCCTATCAGTCTTACCTCTTGCCAAAGTACCTCTTACCTCTGCTTCTTTTCTGCCTTTTGTGGTTTGCTTTGATTTTGTACAAACTTGGGATTTCTAACCTTGAAAATGCCCAAATTATGGAACTTTAAATCATCTTAGATTGCAGGTTATAGGTAGAAAAAGTCCATATCGAAAATCTCTATTTTCTTCCACATCTGCATTTAGACATGGCACGTTTCATCTGAGCCTGCCCCTGAGACTAGCAAAATAACCAGCATGCGCCAACATCCCCAATTTTTCTCCATTATCTCTAATCTTACAGTGTCTGTGGGAACATAATTAGGAACCTGAGGTTCAACAGATGACAACGTGCCAAATGCCGTGCAGACTCAGAAATTCTGAAATATGGCTTTTGCCGTTACAAAATGTGTAAGAGCTGCACGGAGGAAGAAATAAAGCAGTTGACCACCAAGAGAGGCCAGGAGCTGTCAGGCCTCAGTCCTTGAAACATCAGCTTTGCATTTTCCTTTTACGCACGAGTGCACTCCAGCTGACCCTGCCTACTCCACCTCCCAGACACTGTTTCAGAATCTACAGCAAAGGGAGGCTCTTTTATTCACAAGTAAACACACTTCTGAAAAGGGATTTGAATACACATTTTGAAAACAAGGTGAGTCACAGGAAAAATGTAAATACCTATCTGAAAATAGATTAAGATACTCTTCCTACAAAAGGGGGGTTGTATTTTAATCAGAAGAGCAGAGAAGACCGTAACATTAAGAATTTCCTTGGCCCTAGCTGGCGTAGTTCAGTGGATTGAGCGCAGGCTGCGAACCAAAGCATCGCAGGTTTGATTCCCAGTCAGGGCACATGCCTGGGTTGCAGGCCATGGCCCCCAGCAACCGCACATTGATGTTTCTCTCTCTCTCTTTCTCCCTCCTTTCCTTCTCTAAATAAATAAATAAATAAATAAGTAAAATCTTAAAAAAATAAAATAAAATGCCTAAAAAAAATAATTTCTTCGTTCACTGAGGTGACATGAAGTTCTGTCCATTCTGAGTGGTCTTAACTTTTTTTAGGTAGGATGTTTGTGTTCATCAGTGTTCCACTAACGGCCAGTTGATCTTCCTCCATGGCCCCTGGGCGAAGGAGACACACTAGTGCAGCATGGAGGCCCCTGGTCCTTGCACCCTGATTCACAGTCCACAGGGAATTCACACTGAATCCCATGGGCCTGGGCAGTCCTGGCGGTCCCAGCATTCCCACCAGCCACCTGGGACTCACCACGTGGTTCTGGTGGCATCATTCTCACCCTGCAAGTGTGTGACATTTTTGATGTTATTTAAGCCATATCAAATTTCCTTTCAGGAGTGACAGCCCCTATTTTGGTTTGGATTTGAATATTAATCAACTTTTTTTACACAAGTTCAGCACATTTGACCCAAACAGAACTATGTTCCAAAAACAAGGTGGATATGATATATCACGTTCACCAAGGCATTCCTTATGGTTAGCACGTTCCTGGTGCCTGGTCGGGGCTCGATAACCACTTACCGTACAGATGAATAATGAAAAGAGTCATGCCCACAGGAGCTTGAACACCATCGGCTTTGAGCATTTCGCTGGTCGAATTAGGTTGTGTACAGCTTACTGACCGTGAGGAGAGGAGATGGACCTGGAGATGCCAGATCATTGTATATTTGAACTTATTTAGCGTTTCATTATATTTTGAGTCTTGCTTTTCTTGTCAAATAGTGTCTATCAACATCTACTCCCTCCCTGGGAGTGCTCTAGGCAGCAAGCAGAAAGCTAAAATTTCCAGAGTGAATCTCTTTCTACATTTTTTTCCTCCACCCCAAATACCTCATCCTGAGCCAGGTGGCTGTGCGGCCCAGCCCTGATGTGGCTGCAGTCACTGGCCCCACTGAGGCCCTTTAAACTCTGCCTTTCCCTCCCTCTTCCTTCAATCTCAGAAACAACTGCTGCCTTCCAACCTCGCAACCTCATTCTCATCACTGGTACAGTTGCTACCATGTCAAGTCGCATATGCACGGCTGTAGAAATACTAAACGCTTGGCTCTCCTTCTTGCTCCGCCACATTGTGAGTGCCTTGAGAACGGGCACCCAATTGCAGGCCTTGCTTCTGGTACAATGCCAAGCCCATAATTAACACATTTGTTGAATGAAAGAATAAATGAATAAACATCAGAGATATATTTTTTTCTTCCTCTGTGAATGGAGAATTTAAAGGTAAAGAAAGATAAAATTTCTTCCCTTACTATGGAAAAGTTCAGGACTTAGCTGGAAAGTCAATGAATGCGAAAAGTAGTCTAAGCTTCTTTGGAGTTCTGGAGAAGAGAATAGCAAATGAAAATTCCTTCTCATTAAGACAGGGTCTATGTCATTTCCCCTTGGGACTATTATGGTGATCCAATCGTAACTAATAAAATGCAGTGGAAGTGATGTGGTGCAACCTCTGGGGCTAAGTCCCAGATGGCCATGCTGCTGCCACCTGGTTCTCTCAGGACACTCACTCTGGGGAAGCCTGCCCCGCCACCGCCAAAGAAGTCCGACTTCCCACCGCGTAAGAAGTCCAACTACCTGGGACCACCTCATGGAGAAGCCACATACAGGCCTCTGGTCAGCCCCATTGAAGGTCCCAGTCGACAGCCAGCGCCAACTGCTGGCCACGTGCATGAGCCTCCCTGTACACCCAGCTCCAGCTGAGCTTTCTCGTGAACGTATCCCCAGCTGACAGCTGCCGGCAACAGCTTGAGACAGTTCAGTGAGAACTGCTGATCTGCTCCTAAATCTGACTCCAAAATCATAAGCAAAATGATTGTTTAAAACTATTAAATTTGGGAGTAACTTGTCACACATTAGTTGTATCTGGACCAGTTAGTTACCGTTGGGGATCGCTACTGGAAAAAGTCTTGAGTTTTTCTCCCATAGTCCTGAAGGGGGCAGTGCAGCCTCTGTCGTACTCAGAGCAGGCATACACAAGGGCTCAGCAGCGAGTTTCTCTGTCCACAGATAAAAACAGCATCCATTGCTTGCGCACATAGGATCCATCAAAATGCAAATTAAAATCACAGAGGATTTCTGGAATGGAGGCAGT